CTCCAGGAGCGCTTCCGCCAATTCAGGTATGGCAACCCCCTCGTCAGCAGTCAAGTCGCAGGGGGCGCCGGCCGCCGCGAGAACGCGGCTAACCTGCGCTGCCCAGGGCTGCCGGGCCAGTGGCAGCCCTGTGTCCGTGTCGGCAGCCAGCGCAACGCTATCCAGCATGGCAAGACGGGCGACCCGCTCGCCGCCCATAGCCTGCAGGTTGCTCACAAAGCGTGCAACCTGCAAGGTCCAGTAGGCGGGCAGCGGCAGCTGCCCCGTCTCTGCCAGCACAATGAGGGCTGGGGTGCTGTCCCGCACACCCAGCAGCCCTCGCAGGTACTCCAGCTGTACCCGCTCGCATGCCGTCCTGCCCTGCAGAATCAGCTGCGGCGCCCAGATCTCTGCCCCGTACGACAACGTCGGCAGGACGTAAGACTTGAACGCACGCATGCTGAGCAGGGGGTCCTGCAACCCATTCTCGGCCAGGCGGCGACGCAGCAGGTGCATCGCGCGCCGCCCAGCCTCCGCCCGATACGATGCCGCCGAGGCAAAGGCCTGCCGGCAGTGCAGGTGCACGCCGAGGTATCTGAAGGTGGGGACGGTTTCCACCTCATTGCCGCCGTAGCGGAACCGCTCCTCCGTGGCAGCAGCCCCGCCAGTGGTGTACACTACCACCTGGGTCTTTTTGGTGTTAACCGTCAGGCCCCAGGCGGCACAGTAGCTCTCAAGGTAACCAAGCTGGAAACGCAGGCCTGCCGGCGTGGTGGCCAGCAAGGCCTGGTCATCAGCGTAAAATAATGGATCCAGCGACATGTGCCGACCTTTGCACTGCCCAGCTTGGCAGGCAGCAGCAGCCGGCAGCAGCCACGAGGCCACATGCACTAGTGCAGCATGCGCAGCAGCTGCCAGCCGGCAGTGCCGCCGTGAGGCCGGCAGCCAAACAGGTAACTCACGTTTGAGTTCGCCCCAGCCAAAGCATACACCAAAGAAGCCGGATATCTGTGTGTTTTGCGCCAGGTTAACAAGGTTATTCAAGAAGGCATCGTTGGCCGTCGTGCTGCTTTTGCAGCCGGTCGCCAAGCACTGCGTGAACACTGCACGACGGGAAGGAGGGAGCAGCGGAGAAGGATGGAGTAGTGGGTGCAGGGAGGCAGATTTGTTTTCCCTTCTTTCTTGTTATACTCTCCGCCTTACCTCCATTGGCAAAATCCAACCATGGAATACAGCCCTCGATCTTGGCCGAGATTTGGAGGATGGGCGCTGGGGGGAGGGGGAAGCCGCACGAGAACGACAGGCAGCCGTAGCCCGCCTTGAATGCCTTCTCGGCGTTGTTGCGAAGCAGGTAATCTATGAAGCTCTTCCCGTTGTAGCAGTCAAACTCCTGCGCATTCATTCATTCAGCACACAGCCCGGCCGCCTCTTGCTCGAGGGCGGCCCACTTTGGCCTGGGCAGCCCGGGCCGCCCTCCCCCCCGGGCGCATGTTCGGTGTTGGAGGGGTGTGCCCAGCGATAGGGGGCCCCTGAAGGCATGCGCCGAGGCCGGGAAGCGTGGTTCGGCGCTGCTGCACGCTTGGCGATTTGACCAGAACCACGTGCCGCCGAGTTGCGGCCGCAGTTTCCGGCCCACGGTCTACGGTCGCAGCCACGGGACTCGGCGGCACGGCGTTTGGGCCCAAGCTTGCTGCCGCCGCCGCCGTGCCCGGGGGGCAGCGCGGCGGCGGCGGCGGCACGCTGCGACGCCCCCGTGCTGCCGAGCTGCGGCCGTAGTTTCCTGCCAGAAGCCCACGGCCACAGCCACGGGACTCGGCGGCACGGGGTTTCGGTCCACGGCTTGCTGCCGCCGCCGTCGCAGGGGTGCTGCCTGCGGCGGCGGCGGCACGGCGTTTGGGTCCACGGCTTGCTGCCGCTGCCGCCGCCGCAGGGGTGCTGCCTGCGGCGGCGGCGGTAGCGCACGTGGCAACCCCCCGCGTTTCCTTGCCTCCCATCCACCGGACCCCGTCCTGCGCTTCACTTTGTTTAGGGAGGGGCTGCTCACTGCTCATTGCTCATTGCTCATCGCACACTGCTCAACGCTCATTGCCCTATATCCCACCCAGCCGCAGGACTCCACTGCCGCCCGCGCCCCGCCCCATCTGGCCGCTTGCGCGCCCCATCCCCCCTCGATGGGGCCCGCCCACACCGGGGCCTCCCCCCTCCCGCCCACTGCTTTCTCAACGGCCCCGAGCCGGGGCTGCCCTCATTGCATACATAGTGCGCCTTTCCCTGCTTTTCTAGTGACCTAGCGTTCCGCACTGCCGTTTGGCCAGCCCATGCTCCCGTACCGTTGCGTTTCTCCCCAATGCGCCATGCCACTTTGCCAGTCATACACACGTTTCGATGCGTGCCCTGTCAGCTGCTTGCGTTGCATGTCGCCTTGCTCCACCCCTGTTTTATTGCTTTCTCTGCTTTCGCCCGGTTCCCGTCCCGTTTCGGCGGGGAGTCTATGTTGCAAGCTAGTTCTTGCTTTACCAGACTTTAAGCCCACACAAGCACAAGCAAGCTTGAGGCTGCGGGAGTTAGCGCCACCGGCGCCACGCCGCGTGGCAGCACCCTCGCGCAGGCCACGGCGCGGTCCCTGGCGTGCCACGCCCTGCCGGGCGAGAGGCCGCGGCTAAGAAAGGCCTTCTTTGAAGGCGCTGGAGCTAGTGTCTAAACCCTCCGAGAGGGCACAGGTTCGATTCCTCCCATGTCGAAACTTTGTGAGGACAATCGCGGCATAGCTGACCGGCTCAGCGCCAATCCAAGCCAATTCCTTCGGGAACGCCTAATAGAATCGCCAAGGCTTCGGCACAGGCCTCCCCGGGACCCATTCACTACTAGTGGGGGGTACTGCACTTGGCGCGTCGGGCAGATCAAATAATGGTCTAAAGCTAGACGTTAAAACCGGGAAGTTAAGCTTGTGGAGGCTCTTCCCCACCTTTACCTTTACCTAGAGGCACCATGCGCTTGAGCTTACGCTCCATCTCCAGGTGGGCCATGGCGGAGGCGGTGGGGAAGGGGATGGTGCTGTTGCACATGGCAACCTTGACCTGAGGAGCAGCAGTAGCACAAGGCAGGAGCTCAACAGATGGGAGGTGGAGGCAACCCACTGCTGCCTGTCTGTTGCACCCAACTAGAGCAAGTGAATGCTACGGGCCCAGCTGCACTGCAGCAGCCACCCACCTTGCGGGACAGCCCCATGAGGCGGACCTCCTTGCATGCGGCGGCGCGTGTCTTGCCCATGGGCTTGGCCAGGGAGGGCGGGATGAGCAGCGGGTTCTTCTGCATCAGCTTCACCACCCGTGCCTCGGTGAAGTAGCCGGCCACCTCGCGAGCACTGGCCGCCGCCGCAGCAACCTGGCTGTCCGGCACCGTGCGCCGCCCGCGGGCCATGGCGGCGGAGCCCTTCATCTCAGGGCCGCGCAGGCGGGCCAGGCGGCGGCCCCGGCGCCGTCAACAATCCAGTCGGGGCGGTCAGAGCCTCCTCCAGGTTTCCCAGAAGCTCGATGGTGTCCTCAAGCAGGAGGCCCTGCAGCACCGTGAGGGGGGGGGGCTAGCCCTGCCCAGGACGGAATGCTGCCTGCAGCATATGCTGGCACCACACAGCGCCAACTCCACGGCCCACGCCCAACCTGGATGGTTGTTTCATTGTCCTCCAACGGGGCGCATTGGCATGCCGCCAGGAAGGCCAACAAGGCGAGGGACAGGCCCAGGTGGCGGGAGGCAGGCATGGCAACGAGTGCAAGGGTGCCCACAATTCCGCTGCAGACACAGTTTGTGTGGGCCGCAGACTTACTTGAAACTGCCTGGAAGGAGCTACCCTGCAGATAAAGCAGTGACAACTCAGTCCCACCTGGCTGGACGCCGGCGCCGGCGCCGCGCCGCCTCGCAGCGGGGGGCATAGCATGGGCACTATGACCATGGCATGTGCTTGCTTGAGCGGGTTTACAGTCCGTATGTTAGCAAGATCAAGCTTACAGCACAGACTTTAGAAAGTCATAGAATTGGGTGGGGCTGGAATGGCAGCATACAAAGCAGGTCAGCTGACAGGCACTGGGCTGGCAATGTGTAGGCTGGCAAACTGGATGCAAGCTGTGATGTAGAGCTGGGAAAAACCTGTAGCTCAATACAAACTGGTTGTGGTGGGGAGGGAGGGATGGGTCATGGTGGTGCGACTGGCAGAGCGGAGGTGTCGGCTTGCCAGTGGTGGCGGCAGGCGGCGGCAAAGGCAACGACGTGGGCCGGGGGTTAAATGAGGAAGCGGTGGGGAGGCGGGGGCTCAGAGAACAGGTCGGGGAACCGGAGGCGCAACGGGGCGTACAGCGGGCAGACGAGGAGCATGTGGGGGGCATCCTCAATGCCGTCGCGGCAGTGGGGGCAGACTCGCTCCTCTCGGGGGTGCCGCAGCCAGCAGCCGATCTCTTCGGCGCCCCAGTGCGACCCGGTGCGCAGCTGCGCAAGCGCCTCTCGGGCCTGCCGCCGCCGCACTGCGTCCAAGTAGGCCTTGCGCTGCCTGGAGCTGCGCCAGCTGGCGCTGCCAACGTCCCCGAGCTCGCCCAGGCCAATAGGCGCTGGCTGGTGCAGGTCCAGCTGCATGCCGACCGCCACAAGACCGGCCGCCAGCTGGGCAGCCCAGGACTGCTGTGCCAGGGGGTGGGCGCCATCTGCGAGTTGCACGCTGGACAACAACACTTGCTGCAACAGGCTGCCGGGCCGCTCATCCCGCGTCTTGTTCCAGAGTTTGGAGCCCTGCCCGCCGCAGCCAGCGCTGCCACAGCGGACATTCGCAGTCTCCGCAAGGAGGACCGCATTGGGGTGCTCTGCCGTACCCCCAGCAGGTGGCGTAGGTAGCTGAGCTGCAGCTTCTCGGCCGCGCTGCCAGCACTGCCACGTTGGCGGCACGCCGCTTTGGCCGCCAGCTGCACGGCCCACACCTCAGCACCATGGGACAGCACCGAGTCCACCATGGTGCCGCAAAGCCGCAGCTAGATGGGCGCCGCCTCAATGCCCACCTCTGCGTAGCGGGGCCGGCAGTTGTGCACTGCCAGGCGCGCCAGCTGTGCCCGGGCTGGCACTGCTGCCCCTGCCAGGCAGGTGCTGGAGTGGAAGCGATGCCGAGATACTTGAAGCTGGTGACTGTCCAGTCCTGTACTGCGGCCAGCTGCTGGCCGTCGAAGGAGGGGCCTGCCGCCGCAGCTGCCTGCTGTGCTGCCTTCTGGGTCCGCTGCCCGTGAGCAGCATGAGCTTGGTTTTGGCGATGTTGACGGTGAGGCCCCACCCAGCAGGCTGCCGGCAGTACTGCTGAAGCAATACCGGCTGCCGCCGCCTGCTCGTTTGTCCATGGCGGAAGCTGACGCAACCCCTTTTTGCGGTATGAGTGAATGAAAAAGCGTAAATTACAACGAGTTAAACTGTAAATTACAAAGCAAACAGCAGAGGGTGTTAATACAGGTGTTCATAGGTGTTCTGAGGTGTCTGAAAGGAGAAACTATGCAAACTAGTGACAAAAGTGCAGGTTCATTGCAAAAGTGCAGGTTGCTTGAAAGGGGTTACGTTCCGTATGTAAGCAGGCTTGGGGCTGAAACGGCAGCATGAAAGGCAGGTCAGGTCAGGCTGACAAGAAAGAAAGAAAGAAAGAAAGAAAGAAAGAAAGAAAGAAAGAAAGAAAGAAAGAAAGAAAAGGCACTGGCCGGCGATTGAGCCATTAAGCGATTGAGCTACTCGGCAATTGAGCTGTCAGAAGCTCTTGTCGCAGGCTGGCAGTGGCGACTGAAGGATCTTGATGGACCAGCTGAGGCGGAAGAAGAAGAAGTTGATGCCGGCTTTGAAGAAGATCTCGCCGTCAAACTGCAAGCGGAGGGAGGCGGCGGGCCAGTCAGCGATCCTGTGCGCAAACACAGGCGGCCCAGCGAGGCAGCCGCTGCCAGGCGGTGCTGCGCACTCTGAGCCTCCCTGCCTCCTGCCCTGCTGCTGCATGCCATGCCAGGGAGTCCCTGGGTCTGCAAATGCGCCATGCCCCAAGCTCACCGGGTCCCATGCACAGAAGTCCTTGCACTTGAGCTCGTGGTTGTAAAAGCCCAGATTTCCGTAGTGTGCAAGCTTGCAGATTGCGCTCTCGGAGCCTACACCGTACTGAAATTTGCCGCCAAACTGGATAGAGCCTGCAGGCATGGTGGGCCGCGGTCAGTATGAGGTTGTCGCCACTAGTGCCACGGTAGCTGCGCCGACCACGCTGAGCAGCGCAGGGTGGGCTGCACGTTGCATCAGCGCACAACAGGGGCCACCAGCCCAGAGGCACTCACCAACGACAAAGCTCAGCTCCTGTGCCAAACCCAGCTGCTGCTTCATCGGCCAGACAGTCAGCTTGGGTCCCAGGCATGCTGCAACACACGGCGCAAGAGCGTGCGCAAATGAGGCTCCCAGCCGGCTGCGCACAACAGGCATACACGGGGCATGCGGCAGCAAGGCAGCAAGGCAGCATACTGGCAGCAGCAGCACCAGCGCCTACCGTCTTTGAACCCGAACATCTCCAAAATCACTGCAAAACAAACAGCAGAGGCATGGGACAGCAACGATTTAGTCAGGGTGGGACAGGCAGGCATGTGGCTCATGAGATGATCTGCAGGCAGCTGCCGCAACAACAGCAATAGGTCTGCAGTTCTGGGCTACCCAGCCCCTACCCAGCATGCGTATTACAACTCACACTTAAGTTCCCCCCAGCCCACGCATACACCAAAGAAGCCGGATATCTGTGTGTTCTCCGCCATGGCGACGAGGTTATTCAAGTAAGCATCGTCCTCCGCTGTGCTGTTTTTGCAGCCGATCTTCGTGCACTGCATGAACACTGCACGAAGGGAAAGAGGGAGCGTCTGTCCGTGTGTTACACCCATAAGGAGCAAATGAATGCTACGCGCCCAGCTGCGGTGCTGCAGCTGGAAAAGGTGAAGGCACCATACACAAACGGGGAGAGAGAGGGGAGGGGTGGGGTGCAGACAGAGCAGGGGGGAGAGCAGCGCACGCTGGGGAAATTCCAGGAGACCCTTTCTTTTGGCACGCCGGCGCACCTCCATTGACGAAGTCCAACCATGGCAGACAGCCCTCGATCTTGGCCGACACTTGGAGGATGGGCACTGGGGGGATGGGGAAGCCGCACGAGAACGACAGGCAGCCGTAGCCCGCCTTGTATGCTTTCTCGGCGTTCTTACGAAGCAGGTAATCTATGAAGCTCTTCCCGTTGTAGCAGTCAAACTCCTGCTTGAGGCTGCGGGAGTTGGCAGCACCACGTCGCGTGGCAGCACCCTCGCGCTGGCCACGGCCCGGTGCCTTGCGTGCCACCGTCCTGCCGCGCGAGAGGCACCATGCGCTTGAGCTTACGCTCCATCTCTAGGTGGGCCATGGCGGAGGCGGTGGGGAAGGGGATGGTGCTGTTGCACATGGCAACCTTGACCTGAGCAGCAGCAGTAGCACAAGGCAGGAGCTCAACAGACGTGAGGTGGATGCACTGCTGCCCCTCCGTTGCACCCAACTGGAGCAAGTGAATACTACGGGCCCAGTGCACGGGGATCGGGGAGTTTGGGCCGTTTGATGGGATTCATTCATTCAGCACACAGACCGGCCGCCTCTTGCTCGAGGGCGGCCCACTTTGGCCTGGGCAGCCCGGGCCGCCCTCCCCCCCGGGCGCATGTTCGGTGTTGGAGGGGTGTGCCCAGCGATAGGGGGCCCCTGAAGGCATGCGCCGAGGCCGGGAAGCGTGGTTCGGCGCTGCTGCACGCTTGGCGACTTGAACAGAACCGCGTGCCGCCGAGCTGCGGCCGCAGTTTCCGGCCCACGGTCTACGGCCGCAGCCACGGGACTCGGCGGCACGGCGTTTGGGCCCAAGCTTGCTGCCGGCGCCGCCGTGCCCGGGGGGCAGCGCGGCGGCGGCGGCACGCTGCGACGCCCCCGTGCTGCCGAGCTGCGGCCGTAGTTTCCTGCCAGAAGCCCACGGCCACAGCCACGGGACTCGGCGGCACGGCGTTTCGGTCCACGGCTTGCTGCCGCCGCCGTCGCAGGGGTGCTGCCTGCGGCGGCGGCGGCACGGCGTTTGGGTCCACGGCTTGCTGCCGCTGCCGCCGCCGCAGGGGTGCTGCCTGCGGCGGCGGCGGTAGCGCACGTGGCAACCCCCCCGCGCTTCCTTGCCTCCCATCCACCGGACCCCGTCCTGCGCTTCACTTTGTTTCGGGAGGGGCTGCTCACTGCTCATTGCTCATTGCTCATCGCACACTGCTCAACGCTCATTGCCCTATATCCCACCCAGCCGCAGGACTCCACTGCCGCCCGCGCCCCGCCCCATCTGGCCGCTTGCGCGCCCCATCCCCCCTCGATGGGGCCCGCCCACACCGGGGCCTCCCCCCTCCCGCCCACTGCTTTCTCAACGGCCCCGAGCCGGGGCTGCCCTCATTGCATACATAGTGCGCCTTTCCCTGCTTTTCTAGTGACCTAGCGTTCCGCACTGCCGTTTGGCCAGCCCATGCTCCCGTACCGTTGCGTTTCTCCCCAATGCGCCATGCCACTTTGCCAGTCATACACACGTTTCGATGCGTGCCCTGTCAGCTGCTTGCGTTGCATGTCGCCTTGCTCCACCCCTGATTTATTGCTTTCTCTGCTTTCGCCCGGTTCCCGTCCCGTTTCGGCGGGGAGTCTATGTTGCAAGCTAGTTCTTGCTTTACCAGACTTTAAGCCCACACAAGCAAGCACTACACAGCAGCAGCCACCCACCTTGCGGGAGAACCCCATGCGGCGGACCTCCTTCTTGCACGCGGCAGCGCGCGTCTTGCCCATGGGCTTGGCCAGGGAGGCGGGGATGAGCAGGGGGTTCTTCAGCATCAGCTGCACCGTGGCAGCATGGATGAAATAAACAGCCACCTCCCGAGCATCAGCCGCCGCCGCATCAGCATGCCCAGCCGGCACCGTGCGCCGTCCGGCCGGCCCAGCGGCCGAGCCCATCATTTGCCCGCCGCGCAGGCGGCCCAGACGGAGGGCCAGGCCGCGAGCCGTGCCGGATGCTGCAGAGGCAGGCCCTGCCGCCGAGGCTGAGGCGCCCTTAAGCTTGCTGGCGGCCTGGCTGGTCAGCGCCTTGTCCAGATTTCCCAGCAGCCGGATGGTGTCTTCAAGGAGCAGGCCCTGCAGCAGGGGGGGGGGGGGACGTTGGAGAATGGATGCGTAGGCGGAGTTGGGGCTTGCTGGATGATGACGTCGAACGATTGAGACCGACCGCAGGGGATCGTTTAGCTGCTGCAAAGAGGAATAATTCGGGGGCCGGCCACAATGGTCAGTGGTCGCCAGCTCGGCAGGCGATTGCCACCACTCCTCACCTGAATGGATGTTTCATCCACCGACAGAGGAGCACATTGGCACGCAGTCAGGGAGGCCAGGAGGGCCAGCGTGAGGGCCAGGCGCGGTGAATGCATGGTTCGTGTGCTTACAAGTATCGTGTGGTGGGTACCGTCGATACTGCAGGCCGGAAGACTCTGCTATTGATCTGTTGCAAGCGAGCTAATGCCAGAGGGCGAACAGAGCGCTTTATACACCTCCACAGGGAATATCCTACCCCGAGCTTGCCAGCAAACCGACTGGTCGGGCCACCTGGCGTCATCAGCGCGCTTGTTCGCTGCAGCGAACATGTGTAAGTTTGTGGGGATCTAAAACCACCTCCTTGAGTGGTGCTTGCCCTGCCACACCCCCTGACATTCAATACATGCTCGCCTGGCTTTGCGCCGCCCCGCTGACATGGCGCCAGTGGAGGCTACTGTCGTTCCGACAGGTCGGAGAAAAACCAGAGGCCTGTTGATCACCAGCAAGTAGAATTTTGCAGCTAGCGTTTTATTGAGCCCCACCGCAGCTGTGTCTCGAAACCTGCAAATAATGCTCTGTTTGTGAGGGCAACAGCAGGCTCCTGGCATCCTAGTGCGCTCAGCGTGGGCGATTGGGTCCAGGCGTAGGGGGCAGTGTGCGATTTGCCCGCGCCAGTGGCGGAAGCGGCGCCTGGCGGCGGTCTGTCTGCCGCCCACCAGTGCGCACGGCTTGACCATGCAGCCCGAAGGCACAGCCACGGTCGATGTCATCATTGTGTCGCACCAGGACGGCCCTGCTGCCTCCACCGACTGCGATGAGGAGATTGCTCGGCTGCTTGAAGAGGAGGAGCTGGCGGAAGCACCAGAGCGGACGGGTGCTGCCAGCAGCAGCGCCCCAGGAGCGGCAGGAACCAGCAGCGGCGCGGGCGCCGGCTCAGCGGCTGCAGGCGCAGAGCCTGGCGCGCCGGCGCCCTCGGCGCCGCCGCTGCCGGGCGGCCCGGCGAGCGCATGGCAGCAGGAGCTGCGGGAGCCGCCGCCGCCAGGTGCCGAGGCCGGTGGCAAGGCGCCTGCAGACGATGAGCAGCTGGCTCGCAGCCTGCACGATCAGGAGCTGCGGGGGCTATCCCAGGAGCAGCAAGGTGAGGCCTGGCCTGCCCGGTGCGACGTGAACAGGAGCGCTTCGCGCTGCGTTGCCCGCCCTCAAGCTACAGCCTCGCCCTCAAGACCGCCTGGCTTGATGCGCCCTTGTGCCTGCCTGCCACCCGCCTGGCTGGTCACCTGCCGCAGACCGGCTGACCAGGCTGCCGGCGCTTCTGACCGACTCGCCGCTTGTGCGCACGCTGTCGGACAAGCTGCTGCAGAGCATGTCGCTCGTCAAGGTGCGCTGCCACCTGCTGCTGTGCTGGCCTGCATCGTTTGAACAGATTAGGGCGCCATCGCCTGCTCACCCCTGCTGCCCTGCCCCCCCCTCAAGCCGGCTGCAGCTGCTGCCGCAAGTCAACAGCAGCATCGCCGCGGCTGCGGCCGCCGGGGAGCAGGAAGCCGACCCCGTGCGTGCGGGGCGGGCGCGGCTGGAGGAGCGGCTGCGCCTGTATTGCCTGGTGGAGCGCAGGATCAAGGGCGACGGCAACTGCCAGTTCCGATCCCTGTCGGACCAGCTGTTCAGGTGTGGGGCTGGGAGAGGCGAGCCAGCGGCACGGCACAGAGCGCAGCCGTGCACCTGGTGCTGAAGGCTGGGCCCGCGTCTGCGCCGAGCGCCCCATGCCCCGCTGCGCCGCCGCCGTGCAGGACGCCGCGGCTGCACGGGTTTGTGCGGGAGCGGGTGTGCAAGCAGCTGGCCACCGAGCCGCAGCGCTACTCTGGGTTTGTGCCTGGCGGGTACCAGCAGTACTGCGCTGACATGGCACGCAGCGGGACCTGGGGGGACCACGTCACGCTGCAGGTGTGGGCAGGGGAGCTGGGGAGGCACGCCGCACGCCCGATGGGGAGCCTCCGCGCAGCGCATCCAGGCCTGCTGCTGCCCAGCGAAGCCTCATGCACCAGCATGCCTGCCCGGTGGCCCGCCCCGCAGGCCGCCGCCGACCACTTTGGCCTGCGCATCTTTGTGCTCGCCTCCTACCACTCCTCGGCGGTGCTGTGGATCGACCCGCAGGAGCAGCGCAGCCGCCGCGTGCTGTGGCTGAGCTTCTGGGCGGAGGTGGGCGCACCGGCGCCTGCGCTGCTGGCGCCTCGCCGCTTTCCCAACCCCAGGGGAACAGCTTGCACAGAGTGCCCTGCATCCCCTCCACCTGCAGCCCCCAAATGCATGCTTGGGTGTCCCTCAGCAAAGACCACAGCGCCCCCAGCGCGTGCCTGCAGGTGCACTACAACTCGCTGTACCCCGAGAGCGAGCCGCCGCCGCCGCTGCCCGACGACAAGCTGCTGGGCAGCCGCCGCCTGCACAGCCTGCTGTTCGGGCCGCGCTTTCTGGTGTAGCGGCCGCCGCCCCGCTGCACTTGTGCCCACTTGTGCCCACTTGTGCCTGAGTTGCATGTGTATACTTCCCCTGGCTATCCCTGGATTGTTAACTGCTTACACCTCTGGATCCGAGAAGAGGGGGCAAGGAATAGTCTCTGGTGGCAAAAGAAGAAAAGAACTGTCGGGGCGCGCTGCCGGATGGCCGGCAATCAAATGCCAGGGGGGCCTGCCGTTGCGTGGAAAACTGGTGGTGGGAAGCGGGCGTCGAGAAGGAGATGATTCGAGGCGTGAGGGGTTGGGCGCTGTACGAGAGAGGGGCCCGCCAGCGGAGCGGCGGGGCAAGGATGTGCGGTGCGGCGGGCAGGGCAGCAGGGGAGAGGGCAGCGGGAAGCACGAAGAGGGGCGGTACATTCTTTTTGTAGAGCTTTGTAAGGCGATAATTGGGGTCAAGAGGTGTGATGGAACAGAGGGGTGCCTGCGGGGGCGGCTGCTCCCGCAGCAGGGCGTGCTCCCTGTGGGGCCGCCCAGGCAAGGCACTGTGTCAGCGGTGCTACGTACGCGTGGGTCAAACCGAGCAGCCAGGGCGGCGCCCCCCTCGCTCGGGGGGCGGGCGCGCTGGGGGAGTAGAGGGCGGGGGCAAAGAGGGCGCGGCGCGGCGGGCGGGCCTTTATATCGTCACCGTTGGCTGCCGCCGGCCGCGCCATGGCTGAAAGAAGCGGCAAATCAAAAGGCGCACAAGGGTAGGGTAGAATAGGGTGTGGTGTGGTGGAGCGGCAGCGGAGGGCAAGCACTGCGTGCCGGCCCTCGCCAGCTGCCGGCCGCGGGCGCGGCTGCTGCTCACGGCTGCCGCTGCTCCTGCTGCGGCACGGCGCGCTCCTCGCCCGCCTGCTGTAGCGCCTCGCGCGGCGCCACCAGCTGCATGGCCCCCTCCTCCGCCAGCACAGGAGACAGGCGCTGGTGCGGCGGCTGGCCGGGGCGCTTCAGCACCAGCGGGCGCACCGCCAGCCCCTTCCAGCGCGCGGCGTCGGCGGCGGGCGAGCTGGCGCCCCGCCGGCCGTCGCCAGGCTGCGGCACAGCGGCCTCAGCCTCGTCTGAGCTTGGAGGGCTGGCGGAGGCCTCCGGGCTGTGCTCCGCGGCGGGGGTGGCGGCGGCGCCGCCGCCGGCCGGCGCCGCGCCGGCGGGGGACAGGGAGGCGGCGGTGAGGCCCGCGGGGCGGCGCGGGGCGCTGCCGTCCGAGCTGGTGCCCGAGGCGGGGGCCTCGCTGTCGCTGATGGGGGCGGTGTCAGAGGCCAGGCGCTTGGGCGGGGGCAGGCGCAGCGGGCTGGCATCCGAGGCGTAGGCCGCCGCGGCAGCGCCCGCCTCCTCCCCCTCCTGCTCTTCCTGCTCTTCCTGCTCCTCCTCCTCCCGCTCCCCTGCCTCCCGCCGCCCGCGCCCCTCGCCCTCGCTGCCGCTGCTCAGCTGCTCATCGGATGCCAGGTCAGCGTCCGACTCCCAGCCGCTGCCGCCGCGGTACTCTGCGGTACAACAAGAGGCACTCAGAGGCGGGCCGGCGACTTGGGGCCCCTCCCTTCATGCCTGATCATCAGCTTCATGCCGCAGCGCGCACAGCGCACGAGCACATGCAGCCTGCGTTGCCGCGGGGCGGGGGCGGGCAGCTGCACGGCAGCCGCCGGGCGCTGCGCG